CCTGCTGTATTTGCTTCAGGAAAGAAATATTACTTTAAGCTTCCCCTAACACCCCCCCCAAAAAAAAGACAAGAAAAGTTGCTGGTGGCAGGCAGGCAGAAATTCGTGTTTTAGTTAGTTGGTTCGTCATTTTTAAGATTGGTCAGTTTATTTGTTGCTGTTGCCAGAGAGAGAGAGAGAGTGAGAGGAAAAGTGTGAAATCACTCCGCCAAGGAGGTGAGCACCCCCAATCCTTTTCCATTCTCAGCTCGGGATTTCGGGCATGCAGACTCAAACCACAGCCAGCCATGTGGGAGTCCAGTGCCTTATCCACCAGGCCACCTGCTGGCCCCTATTTATTTTTTTAAAGCAATCTTGTGCTTAACTTAAGCAGAGAGGCGAGAGCCAGTAGGGCAGGGCCAGGGCTGGGAACCCCTGAGCATTGAGGAGGGACTCTGGATGGAGCTGTGGCCTCAGCACAGACCGCTGGGAGCTCTTCCCACTCTATCCACCTGGTTACTCTGCCTCTCTGGAAAAGGAGGCTGGCACAGAACTGAGGAAATGAGAAACCACTGTCTTTTAGAATCAAAAACGGGCCCAGCTGCTGGGACCCAGTGGTAAAGTAAGCGCTCCACAGGGCTGGAAGTCACACAGCCGACCGTGGGTTCCGATCTCTGTTTTGGCCTGAAAACGCACCAGGAGCACAGGCCCCCAGGATTCCCAGGAGCTGGGGCAGGGCTGAGGAAAATAGATCCTGGTGTGATGAGACCCCCTGTCAAGGGCGATTCTCTCTTTCTCATGTACACGTACACATAAGCACACACTCTTTATCATTAAAAAAAAAAAAAATCAAGGACCAGCAGGTGGCATGGTGGTTAAGGCACTGGACACTCCCACATGGCTGACCACCATTCTAGTCCCGGACCTGGTGGCTTGCTTTCTCACTTTCTCTCTCTCTCTCTCTTTCTCTGTGAGTGTGTGTGTTTCTCTCTGGCCAAATTTTAAAAAAAGTGAATACATACAATTAAATAATTATTTAAAAAGAGAATCATAAAAACAAAAAGCTCTAGACAGAGAAGCAGATACAAAAACAAATGTCTTATAGCACACATATTAGCTGCAACAAGACAAAGCAGAGTTTTTTAAAGGTTTCTTTTTTTAGAGAGAATTATTTAATTTTATTACTATTATTCAACTCGACCAGAAGGAGACAGAGAGAGAGACAGCAAGCCATCACATTCGAACTGCAGTCGGCCATGTGAGAATCCAGCGCCTTAACCACGAAGCCACCTGCCAGCCCCCAAAATGGATTTTTAAACATTCTCTTAAACTCTGAAGAAGTAAAATTCTGAAAAGCTTTTAATGAGCAAAGGATAAATATAAATGTATAAAACCATACTCATTATTACTAATTTGAGAATATAAAACATGATTGTCATATGTCTTTATTAGTTTTGTCTTATATTTTAGTGAATATAACTAAGAGCTTTCATACTGATCACATGCCATTGGTTTTTTTCTATTCTCAGGAAGTTTCAAATTCCATAATAATAGTGATGACATGACAGTTCAAATATTCGTTAACTTTTCAAAGTAGTTCAAAAGCACGTTACATGTTTTATTTCTCCATCAAAACCAATCTGCAAGAAGGGAACTTGGGCCAGCCAGGGCATGGTAGTTAAGACAGCTGGATCCCACATGGCTGACTCCACAATTCAAGTGTCAGACCCGGCAGCTTGAAAAACATGTCGGGTGTCTTGTGTGTGCACGTGTGTGCGTGCACATGCACATGCCCAAAAGCCCCAGAGGAGAATGGAGAAGGGACTGTGGAATGGCCATCTCCCCAGGGGATGATTTCTCACTCTGTCTCGGGTGAGCACACATGCCTGACAGCAAAAGTTAAAAAGAAACTTGATTATTTCCCACTTGCCCGGGACACAGTTGAGCTTTAGGAAAATCAGCTGACCAGTGCTAGGTAAGAGAGGGAAGCCCATCCTTTCACTCATTTACTGCTGTGTTGTCCCAATCATGTTCCTCGCCTTGGCTAGATTCAGAGGCAACCCCCTATGATGAGGGAGCAAATGTGTCTCAAAAACAGCCCTTAAGAATCTTAAAATTAGTTGGTTTTCAACCAGATAAAAGCCATATTTAAGAATAGCCAGTGTAGCCGGTGGCAGGGACCAGCAGTTAGCGTAATAGCTTTGTTGCTGTCCTCCCATGCAGCCGACCATGGTCCGAGTCCTGGACCCAGTGGCTTAAACTCAGGCCAGGTGCGTGTGCGTGCGTGCCCAAGATCCCAAGAGGAGAATGGAGGAGAAGGGATTGTGGTGTGGCCATGCCCCCTGGGGGTCATTTCTTGCTTTCTGTCTCTTTGTCTCTGTCTCTCTAGAGAGCTCACACACCCTGTAGCTAAAACCTCTCCAAAAAAAGAATAGCCAATGGCACAGTGGTTAAGGCAGCTGGGTCCCACGTGGCTGAACTTGTGGTTTGAGCCCAGTGGTTTAGGGAAGACAAAAGCAAACAGCAGGTGCGTGTGCATATGTGCCCACATCCCTCCTCCATTTCTCCCTGTGCTCTGGATTTTGGGCAGGCAGACACACACACACACACACACGGGTGCTCAGCATGTTTTTAAAGCCACCAGGTCTGGGACTCGAGCCGAAAGATCAGCCATATGAGAACTGGCTCCCTTAACCACCAGGCCACAGGCTAGCACACAGGCATCCTCTTTAATGTCATATTTAAGTGTCCTCCTTTAGTATCAAAACACATGACTCAGGCATCAAGATGTTATTTTTCTCCTGGTGACTTGGGAGAAGGTGGCCAGTTTCTGACCTGAGTTTGACAGGACTCAGATCCTGCTTGAGTTTATGAATCAAGGTCTCTTAATATGCAAGATCTCAAGTCTCCAAAGGACTTGGCTTTGGAGCTAGCTGCATATTTTTCTTCCAAGACGTGCTTTTCTTCCATTTCAGAAGCAGCTGAACTACAGAAAGGACAATTTCTAGAGCACGTTCTCCACGCAACGTACAGTTGGTGGACTAGCCTGTTCTTCCATCTGAAGAACTGCTTTCTGGTACTCCGAGTGGGTCTGGCAAACAGAAAGGAACACGCTCTAGAGAAAACAGGGAACAAAAAGTCTCGGAGAGCGAAGGCGAGAGCAGCTTGACTTGTTGGCAGAGGCTGGGGCTGAGCGGGAAGGCTGGTCCCAGGTGGGCAGTAGAGAGCACCGAGCAAGGCCACCACCTGCAAAAACGGAGTTCTAAAGGGAGGGGAGCATCGATTCCAGACTACGAGGAGTGAAAAGCAAGCTAAGCCAGAGCTGTCAGTAGGTGGCCAGCCCTTTCTCCACACAAGCCCATGTCCACCTACACTGAGTCCCTTCCCAAGACTCTCTTGTGAACTCAGAGACCCTCTTCAATAGGGGCTTTGCTTTCCAGGCCTACAAGTCTGAGGATGCATCCGTGCAGAGACCAAGGGATGAAGCAAAGATTCAGAAGAGGAGGCTCAGCCACCACGGTGCACAGACAATGCCCCTGGAGGGAACTGGGGCTGCATGGGAGGGTCAGGTCTGGTGCCCAGGCTGACCTGGGCTGGCCGGTGCTGCTGTGTGCCTATGGTCCTACTGAACTAGGGCAGGGGTCAGGACACGGTGAGACCCTGGCCAGTACACGTCTCTTTCTTTTCCTCTCTTTTTCTCCTATATATATTTTAAAAAATGAGAGATAAAAAGTAGAAAACTCCAAACTAGAACATCTGAATGAGAGGAAAGGAGGATATTGAAGCTCAAGGACCCAACAATTTCACTTGTGAATAAGCAAAACTATCACAGTGTTTAAAAGATTGGCTCAGGGCTGGCCCCAGGAGCTAGATTCCATGGCCCACCACGTGGTTTGAATCCCAGTCCCGTCAGCTTGAGAAACACACTAGGTACATGTGTGCACATGTCCCAGATCCCAGCAGGACAGAGAAACAGAGGACAAGGGAGTGTGGAGTGGCCACGCCCTGCTGGGGGTGCATTCTCCTGTCCCCCCCTCTGGTGAGTGTACATAGCCCCTGGGCAAAATAAATAAACAAATGATCTGCTCACATCCTGCTGGCTAGACCGACGTTAATGGCGCCTGTCACGTCACTGCTCCAGACCAGTCCCATTTCTGCTAGAGCCGTTTCTAGACGATTAAGGACGCACGCCCATAAACGTGATGGCGATGAACTGTCCCATATCGCTGAGGGGCTGGTCCCCACTACGGTTCACTGGACATTTCCCTGTAGTAGTTACCGAGTTAAAAGGCTACCACTGCCCAGACGGAAAGTTGCCCCTGTTGCACTGAAATGCCAAAACCTAAGTAGAAAGGAATGACAGATTCCCAAAGTAGCTGAGCCAATATTTCCCCTAAACGTCATGTGATTCCCCTCTCCCAAAGATCTTTTCTAACTGGGGAGGGAGAGGAAGCTTCCAGTGGGAATGAGAGAGGATCTCTCTGGGAGGGATTCAGCTCCCCTCCCAGTGGGCTCTAAGGAGTGGAATGGGGAATAGAACAGCATCTCCAGGAAAGTTTATGGGCTAAGAACAGAGGAGCTTCTCTGATTCCAGTCTGGCCCCCAAGGAGTCCCCTGAGCCAACACAAGGCAAAGCTACAGAGTCGAAATGGCAATGGCAAAGGGGCAAGAAGAAAGGGCGAGGAAGCCAACGGGGTGTTCCATGGGGCCGGAGCAGGCTGGTTTCTCTGTGCTCCAAGAAGCGTCAGGTGTATCAGGGTATGGCCCAAAAAGCATCTCAATGCCACAACCAGAGACAAGGCTGCACACTTCGGTAGAGGCCGGAAAGAGAGAAAATGGGCACAGACCACGTGTCACCACGATGCCTCATCAGCCCATGCGTCTGTGTTTAACTGGTTAACAAGGGGGTGAGAAAAGGAGGCGATCAAGAACTGACTTAGTTGGGACCACTATGTCACTGGACTCCCACGTAGTCGACCTTGGTTGGGTCCCGGGCCCGGTGCTGGTTTCTCTGTGCTCCAAGAAGCGTCAGGTGTATCAGGGTATGGCCCAAAAAGCATCTCAATGCCACAACCAGAGACAAGGCTGCACACTTCGGTAGAGGCCGGAAAGAGAGAAAATGGGCACAGACCACGTGTCACCACGATGCCTCATCAGCCCATGCGTCTGTGTTTAACTGGTTAACAAGGGGGTGAGAAAAGGAGGCGATCAAGAACTGACTTAGTTGGGACCACTATGTCACTGAACTCCCACGTAGTCGACCGTGGTTGGGTCCCGGGCCCGGTGGCTTAAACTCACGCCGGGAGCGTGTGCGTGCGTGCCCAAGATCCCGAGAGGAGAATGGAGAAGGGACTGCGGCATGGCCATGCCCCCTGAGGGTGATTTCTCACTTTCTGTCTGTCTGTCTCTGTCTCTCTGGCGAGAGCATCATACACCCTATACCAAAAACCTTTCAAAAAAAAAAAAAAAAAGAACCGACTTAGTTAAGGTTTGGAATGATAAGGAAAACTATGACGAGGCTAAGTTTACCAGGAACTAATTAGATGAAGTATTCTATCAGGTAGAAAGGGGGCCGGAAATAGGAGCACTGCAATTATTTCATTATAGACAGCTACACGTACTTCCTCCACATCTGAGTTCAGACCTTGGAAGCTTGAGCTGCCTACAAGTGTCAATGCTGAAGAAGGAATTCAGACACCATCTTCCTACAGCTTGACGTTTAGCTACTGCGGAGCTACAGAAGAGACTACTCGCAGGTTAGCAAAGCAATGGTGATCTTTTTGAAATGCAGTTTCAAACATTATACAGATCGTAGAAAAGGGTTCTCTTGAAGTTCCTCTGTCTCACCAAAGGCATCAGTGAGTTAAGGGCAGATGTGCCTCTCCAGGATAGAAAACGTTTTCTTTTTTTTTTGTTTTTTGATTATTCTTTTTTTGGAGAGGTTTTTGCTATAGGGTGTGTGCGCTCGCCAGAAAGACAGAGAGAGACAGAAAATGCGAAATCGCCCCCCAGAGGCGATGGCCACGCCACAGTCCCTTTTCCTCCATACTCCTCTCGGGATTTGGGGCACGCACACACATGTGCTTGGCGTGAGTTTAAGCCACTGGGTCTGGGACTCAAACCGTGGTTGAATACGTGGGAGTCCAGCGACATAGCTATTACGCTAACTGCTGGTCCCATGTTTTCATATTCTGATCTACATACATCTTTAAAGCACCTTAGTGCTTCCGTATTCTGCCTCCTGTGCCCAGACTCCCGTGCCCCAGCAGCACAGAGGTCCCCATGATGGCTGCTAATCTGAGTTTACCCTCTTGGAAGGCACTGCAAGCTCAGGACAGGCACTTCCCCTCCAGAAGGGGAGCTCTAACAGCAAGTCTCAGATTTCTCTGTGTAGAAGCAAAATATTACATGCTTCATATTTCATTTCTGCATTCATTTAGATAGAAAATCTCCTATTTGGGGGCCATAAGATAGTGTAATGGTTATTTCACTAGACTCCCACATGGTCAGCCATGGTTCTAGTCCTGGACCTGGCAGCTTAAAACTCAGAGAGGGTACATGCACGTGCACACATGCCCCAAATCCCGAGAGAATGGAGAAGAGATTGCGGCATGGCCATCCCCCCTGGGGGTGATTTCTCACTTTCTGTCTCGCTGATGAACAACATGCACCCTCTATAGCAAAAATCTCTCTTAAAAAAAGTTCTATTTCAATGTTATTATTCTAAGTTTGTTGACGAAAGGCCTAATAATCCATGAACCAAGATTGCAGATTGTCTCGTGCAAAAAACAGTTTCTAAAACTGTGTGCAATTTTTTTTACATCAGAGTTTAATTTGAGAAAAATCTATACTTGCCTTAATTCCTGAAGCTAAATAGAAAATGTTTCAAAACATACCCAGTTACAGAAATTTAAAGTGTTTATTTAGATGTTCGGCATCAAAGCTAGGCCCCCCAAAGTCTGATGTGCTGAAGTCACAGGTGGGCTTTCCTGTCTTCGTGTGGATTGTTGCCTTCCCCAAGCCGTGGCCAGCATCTCACAGAACAACTTAGAAGTATTCATGCAATAGTATTTATTCAGGAGAGGCATTCTGATTTATTGTTTTGTCACATTCTACTTCATTTTCTATTATCTCATAAATTCATTAGCTATAATTACTTTTTCTCTCCCCTATTTTATTTTCTGTGTAATCTTTGTCTTTTCACGAGTTTATGCCAAACTCCGAATCTTACATTTCTCACCCATTTTATTATTTGTCTGCCCATAGTCTCTACTTCTTTGTCAGTTTCTATGGGTTTTCCTTACAAGTAATTAATCTGGTTTGCTTTTACTTCGTCTACGGCTTCTGAAATGCCTGTTCAGCCTTATTCTTTTCCATCTTGAATAAGTTTATATTTCCTGGAATTTTCAGGAAGATAACTTCCCGTTTTACCCTCAAGATCTGAATTTCCTTTGAATATATTGAATTTCTCTTCTTTCGTTTTTTTCACTATTGAATATTTCAACTTTTTACTTTCGAAAAGTTTTTCTTCTTTTATTTGCTGAACACTCATCGATGGTTTTTATTTGGGCTTATCCACATGACGGGCTTCTAGGAATGCAGGTGGTTTTACATTTCTTCTCTGTTCTCAAAGAAACAGTGGAGAGTTCTAGAAGTAAATTTAATCACATTTCAAATCATAGCCGGTCCACTTGGATTTACTGTTGCAATTTGAATATTGATTAAATGCCAACTCGGTGAGTCTTGCTTCGTTTTTTGTGTTGCTAACGAAAATACCTGAGCCTGGTGATTTTATAAAGAAGGTGGAGGGTTATTTACGAACCCAAACTTTGACTCTGGTGGGTGGGAAATGCAGAGGTCTGCTGCGCAGCCAGCAGGAGCATGGAGGAGGGGAGCAGCTTCTAGCTCTCGCTCTCTCATAGCAGCCAGCTCTCATAGGAACTAACCCTCTTCAAGAAGGCTAAAACTCGAGACCAGCAGATGGCGTAATGGTTATGTCACTGGATTCCCACGTAGTCAATTGCGGTTCGAGTCCGGGCCCTGTGGCTTAAAATTCACACCAGACGTGTGTGTGTGTGTGTGCGTGCCCAAGATCCCGAGAGGAGAATGGAGGAGAAGGGACTGTGGTGTGGCCATCCTCCCTGGGGGTGGGGGTGGGGTGGGGATTTCTCGCTTTCTATCTTGCAGGGGAGTGCACATGCCCCTCTTAAAATAGATTAAAACTCAGTGAGCCAACACTCAGGTCTTTTTCCTAAGAAAGACATCATCTACGTGTGAGAGTGCTGCCACCATGATGTCATCACCACGAACAAGTCACTGTCCACTAGGCTACACCATCTCTTAACACCTAATTCCAAAACATAAAACTCTGGGGGACAAACCAGGATCCAAATCATTGCATGGTGTTAAGAATTACCTGGCAAGGGACCAGCAGTTAGCATAATGGCTATGTTGCTGAACTCCCATGTAGTCAATGACGGTTCGAGTCCCGAACCCAGTGGCTTAAAACTCACACCGGGTGTGTGTGTATGCGTGCCCGAGATCCCGAGAGGAGAATGGAGGAGAAGCCTGGCCATCCCCCCTGGGGGGTAATTTCTCGCTTTCTGTCTGTCTTTGTCTGTCTGGCGAGCACAGGCACCCTAGGGGGTAAAAACAAAAAACAAAAAACAAAAAACAAAAACCACCTCTCCAAAACAGAAAAAGAAAGAAGATAATTTCGGTAGAAGACACTGGAAGAACAAGGGTCACATGCTTTGGTTTGCAGCTGGCACAGGGTAGAGGGGCAGGCTGTTGAATGAATGAGTGGAGCCTTTGGAACCTGTGGGGTGTGGTGGCGACTGCGAGGCACCTGCTCAGGTCTGCTGCGGGAAGTGTTACCCCGACTGCACTTGCACTCTCCCCACTTTCCCAGGAGTGGGCTTCGCAAGGGCCACTCTCAGCTGGTGACGGGTCAGCTCCCGTGGGACTCCTCTCTTGGGGAGCCTGGCAAACCCGTCTCCCAGCCGCACTGAGAGGCCCTGCCTCACTCCGTCCTACCCACTCTGCTCCTTCCTGTTCCCCTCCTAGGGGTCAGGTTGCTTCCTCCAGCGCCCCCTAGTTTCCCCTACAGGTGTCCCTCCATACATCTCCTACCTGACAATCTTCTAGGCAGCCTGCCTCAGAGGACCTGAACTAGCATAAAGCAAGGCTACTGTGTACCAGGGTGCCTCTTCCTAGCCTGGGCCTGTCCTCCCACGCAGGGACTCCCCTCTTCTCAAGGAGAGACAACTTCAATTTATAACCAACCCCGCAGCCTAAGAGCCGTTCCCTATGCCACTCCCTGATGGCAGGAGGCTACCTGTCCACCGCAGCCATACCTCCCGCCTCACCCTGCCAAGAACACACACACCTCGCACTTTCCCAAGCGCCATTATTCATCTGGAGCCAAGGAAGCGTCTCCTTTGAGCGTGTCCTCTCCCCTTCTCCTCTTAATGAGGCACCATTGCCACATTAATAAGAATGCAAATCGATGCTCTGCGTGAGAATAGCACGCTTTGTTACTTTCCCAAGCCCTCGTATAAACGTTACTTCACATGATCCTCATAACCCTGAGTGCCAACAGGGCCGGGATTATTGGCCCCACTTTACAGATTAGTGGGGACCAGTTTCTGAGCTATTCAAGGCAGAATTGAACCCTGAGAACTCTTGCACTCCACAAACTAAAAATTCCATAACCTGTCTAAACTCACAAGGCTGGCAACCAGAGGCATACCAGGGACCTGGGACGCGCACTCGGTGCTCGGCTCGCTCACACCGTTCTGACGACAGACGGCCGTCGTGGGTCGTCCCTGCCATGTGCACTGCCAGCTACTGACAGGCATTGCTGGGGCCGCTAGCCCCCTCTGCCTGCCTAAAACCATTGAGATCTCAGTTCCACACATGCCAACACCACTCCCCTTAGCCCCTGCCACCAGAATGCTCTCTGGTGGATTTAACCTGCTTGACGTGTTCCATTCCCATGGCACAGGTCAATGTGGGCTCCCCAGGCCCAGAAGATTCCATCTGAGTGAACTGAACTGGGGGACTCTGGGCTGGGTTAGAAGGACAGAAGTATGCTCTCAGGGGACACAAATCGGGGGAGAACTGGGCTCTCTGGGGCAGAGGGGACTTCATGGGACTTGGCTTTAGTTGGTAGCAGTTAAAATCTGTGAGCTGTCTTGCTGCCTGAAACCAGGAATGACACCACAGGCAAAGGCAGTCATGAGACCCAGAGAGGACACTAGGCTTCGCCAAGCTCACACGGCCTGTTTGGGACAGTTAGGACTAAATTTCCCCCTCCAGCAACGGACCCAGGGCTCTCGTGGCCTCAGCATGTAGAGGGTCCCCATGTGCAAAGTTCCTGAGCAAGACTAGACAGAGGTCAAAGCTGCTAACAGACCCCCGAAGTGTCTCAAAGTGAAGGGGAAACCAAAGGACAGGGGGAGCCTCCTTCCCTTTTGCTTTTCAGCCCGAGAGGATGACACCTAACCAGCTCCAGGGTCCCAGTGAAGGGAAAGGACTGGTTACTGCGAACCGGGACTCTTTCCCCTTCTCTTCCTCCACCTATCCTTCTTCCAAGCAAAGAGCCTCTGAGACTGCCCTGGAGGAAGGAGCTGGCTCTGGTAACTGAGCACCTGGGCAGGGTAAAGGCAAGGCCAGTGCTCTGTGAACAGCTGCACAAGAAGTGGGCAAATAGGTGGCCTTGGGGTGACAGGCCTTGTTTCTCACTCTCCTGGTCAAATAACAGGAAACAAAGTATGCAAACCAAAGAAACACACAATATTTACAGAGATTGGTTTCCAAACTAATACAATTTTGGCAGAATCCAACAGGAAGGCCAGTTTGGTTGGTTCATTTCATTGCAGTAATGTTCTTACTCATCAAGGGTTTATTGAGTACCTACCTTGTGCCCTGGAGGCTCTGAAAAGGCACAGGAAAGGCCTCCAGTCCAGGAACTGACTGTAACCAGCAAATAAACAAGAAGATCTCAGACTGTGCTAAGTGCTCCACAGGAAATAACAGGATGAGATGTACAGTGATCAAACATAAACTTTAAAAAATACAAAAACGAAGATAATGCAAAAAAATTGCATTAATGTAAAATGGAAAGAAAGACGTTAACTCTACCAATTAAAACATGTAGAGGGTCCTCCATGTGTAGAGGGTAATGGTTATGTCACTGGACTCCCATGTAGTCAACCATGGTTCGAGTCCCGGACCTGGAGGCTTAAACTCACGCTAGGCACATGTGTGTGCGTGCCCAAGATCCCAGGAGGAGAATGGAGGTAAAGGGATTGCAGCATGGCCATCCCCCCTGGGGGGTGATTTCTTGCTTTCTGTGTCTCTGTCTCTTTCTGTCTTTCTGGTGGTGAGTGCACGTGCCCTATAGCAAAAACCTCTCAAAAAACACATATACTAGGAGTTACTGTTATCAGCAATAAGACAATGAAGATGTTCTGTTGAGATTCACCCTGGCAAACAGAAAGGGCAGGCCAGAAGAAGACTGAGTACACCATGAGAGCTGAGATCTAGTGATTTCAGAGATAAGAGCAATGAAGATGTTGAGAAGTCACCCTGGTAGAACCCCTAGAGAAAAACGCAGCACCAAAGAGTTTGCAGACCACGTCCTCCTGTGCACCTCTGATCACTCACATTGATCTTCTAGAAATTAGGAAGAAACGAATAACCCATCAGATGACTAGAAATCACCGCAGGGGCACCAGAAATATGCGAAACCAAGAAAATACCTCTCTCCCAAGGGAAAAGAATAACTCCTCTTCATTCACAGACAGTACAATGGAACTCCTGGAAATGTCAGATGAAGAATGTAGAATATTCATAGTGACAAAGCTAACAGAGATGGGAGAGAAGAGAGACAATGAACACCAGAAGAAAAAGCCAATGAGTTCCAGGAGGTGAGGAAATTCTTGCGAGAGCTGAAAGGGGAAACACACACCATAAAAAAAGAATCAAATGGAACTGTTGGAGGTGAAGGCCATAATACAGGAAGTCAAAACCTCCTTTCAAAGTATTAAAAGCAGACTGGATCATCCAGAAAATTGAATCTCAGATGTAGAAGACAGGATCTCTGGACTAGTAAAACCCACCAAGAAGACTGAGAAAAAAGCCCTCAAAAATGAGACGACTATACAAGAAATACTAGATACCATTAAACGTCCAAACATCTGGATAATTGGTATCCCAGAAAGTGAAGAGACTAATAAGGGCATTGATAATCTATTCCATGAAATCCTGGAAGAAAACTTCCCAAACCTAGAGAGGCATTCAAAGATCCAGACCCGAGAAATACAAAGGACCCCCAAATAGGACCAACTCAAGAAGATCTTCTCCAAGACGCATTATAGCCAGAATGACCAAAACCACAAAGACAAGATACTCAGACTAGCAAGAGAGAAACATCAAATTACCTATAAAGGATATCCCATCAGGATAACATCGGACCTCTCATCAGAAACAATGTGAGCAAGCAAAGAATGGGAAAATATATTCAAAGTGTTGAGTGAAAAACAATTTCAACCAAGAATACTATACCTGGGAAGATTGTCCTTCATATGGGAAGAGAAGATAAGAACATTCTCAGATAAGCAAAACCTGAAAGAATTTACCAACACCAGACCAGCTCTCCAAGAAGTTCTGAAGGGAGTGCTATACCAGGAAAACTAAAGTCAGACATACAGAAATAAAAGATCTAAAATAACTAAGAAAATGGCCGGCTTAATGGTAGGAACAAGTTCAGAGTTGAATATTATCTTCCAGAATTTAAATGGAAAGATCAGACCACAACAGAAGATAAGGAACATGAGTTCGAATTGGTGTGATAGAATTTTATGACTTATGACTAAAACATTACTAACCTTCTACACTTTGTTTTCCAGTGTTAAGGAGTTTTGTCTTCTCTCAAGTTGGGACAGGTCCATGTATCTACTATTCGAACAGAATCCTAACCTGTTTCCTGGCTTTAAGTATTAAGCAAAGTTCTCTTAACATTTTTTGATGTACTAAAGTGAAAACTGCCTTTCTTGAAATTAAAAAAAAAATGTACTTAAAAAAATTAAAACTAAAAAACATATACTAAAGGACCAGCAGATGGCATAATGGTTACATGGCTGGACTCCCACATGGCCAGCCACGGTTTGGGTCCTGGATCCGGAGGCTTGAAACACACCAGGCGCACGCGCGTGTGTGTTTGCCCAAAATCCGAAGAGAAGAATGGAAGAGAAGGGATTGCAGTGGGGCCATCCCTCCTAGGGGGTGACTTCTTGCTTTTTGTTTCTCTCAGTCTCTCTGGTGAGCACACAGGCCCTATAGCAAAAATCTCTCTCTCAAAAAAAAAAAATATATATATATACACACACACACACACTAAATGACCAAAAGAAAAAAAAAAAAAGGAACAGGGTGACATGACCCAAGGTAACTCACTAGGGGCAGAGAGGGGACCTACTTTAGACAGAAGGTCAGAAATTTATCCCTGCAGTATGGGACCAGCAGTTAGCACAATGGCTATGTCACTGATGAACTCAACCGCGGTTCCAGTTTTGGACCCGGTGGCTTAAAACTCACACCATGTGTGAGGGACCAGCAGTTGGCGTAATGGCTATGTCGCTGGACTCCCACGTAGTCAACTGCGGTTTGTGTCCCGGACCCGGTGGCTTAAAACTCATGCGGGGTGAGTGTGTGTGTGTGTGCCCAAGATCCGGAGAGGAGAATGGAGGAGAAGGTATTGCGGCGTGGCCATCCCCTCCACCCCCGCCCCGGGAGGGGGGGTGATTTCTCCCTTTTTGTCTCTCTGTCTCTGTCAGGCGAGCGCACGCGCCCTATAGCCAAAAAAAACACACCAAAAAAAAAACCAAAAAAACCTCTCCAAACAAACAAAAAAAGCTCACACCGTGTGCGTGTGCGCCCAAGATCCTGAGAGGAGAATGGAGGAGAAGGGATTGCGGTGTGGCCATACCCCCTGGGAGGTGATTTCGCGCTTTCTCGCTTTCTCTCTCTCTGTCTCTCGCTGTCTGGTGAGCGCACACGCCCTAAAAAAAGGAAGAAGAAGAAAGAAGAAAGAAGAAGAAGAAATTTATCCCTGCGGTGACATAGGAGCTGAGCCAAGTGAGAGGTCTGAAAAAATGCTACTTGGGACAAGGAACAGGAACAGCAAGGGTGAGGCCCTGAGGCAAATAAGGCTTGGCAGGGAGGAGTTCGGTGTGCCTGCGGGGCAGTGAGCGCAGCCAGGAGGCAGCCAGGGTCTCATGGGAGGGCCTAGGAGGTCGCAGTGGGAAGTGCTATCAAGGCCCCTGTGACAGGCCATGGGCGCAAAGGCAGCTGGAAATAGCAGTCCTGCCATTCTTCGGGAGCCCCGACGGACGGTCCTGATGAACTTCTGGAGTCTGACTTGGGTTCCCGTTTGAGATCTTTCACTTTAATGACCTTGGGATAGTTACTCGTTTCCTCATTTGAATAATTTTCTCTTTTGATGCCAAGAGATTCGTGTGGGTATTAGCTCCTTATCAACTTATCCTTACAATCGGAGCAGTCATTTATCAATATAAAACCATCTCAAACTTAAAAAAAATGAATTTTCATTTCGAACAGTGCGATAAAAGCGATCGAAATACGGGCAAATTCCTCAGGAAAAGCGTATTTTATTGCTGGGATATCAAGGTGGTCGTTGCAGCCTCACTCGGTACTTTTAAGAACTCAATCATGAGCCTAGGTCTGCTCTGTCAAGCGGGCCAGTTCATTGTCCGTTTCAAAAACCAGAAGCAATAAAAATGTTGATACCGATATCCATCATTTTTATCTTCGCCCTCTCCCTGGTTACGCTGGGAGATCTGTTCCACTAGGCTGAGTTTAGGGAGACTAGCGGAGAGCAATGACGGGGCTGGGAGTGGGGGACGGGGATGGAGGCGTGGTGTGGAGAAAGGTAGAAACCACGACGAGAAAACCCGGAAAAGGGCCCCGATGTCTCTTATTTCGGGAAAGAGAAACGAGAAGTGAAAAAGGAGTCCGAGGCAGGTGTCTCCACGGTGACAGGGCCCTCTCCTCTGCACAGTGGAGCCAAGCAACAGGCCCCGGCTCCCGGAGCGGGTGGGAAACGGGAAAGGGAGAGTCAAGGGAGCAAGGAGAGAGAGAAACGACTACGGACCTGAACTAGGCAAACCCAGAGAAACGCCCGCAGAACCCAGAGCGCAGCTGCCAAGCGCACTCAGCCCCGGAAGAGGGCCGCGGGAGGGCGGGGCGTCAGGCGGGGCGAGACCAATGGGAGGGCAAGCAGGGGAGGGGGCGTGAAGCCAATGGGAAGGCGAGCGTGGGCGGGAGGGAGCCCGCGGAGGCGAGGCGGGCTGCCAGGGAGGCTAATGGGAGGGCCAGCCGGACTGGGGGCGGGGCACCAGGCGACGCGAGGCCAATGGGAGGGCGAGTGCCCGGGGGCGGGGCCGCGGGCGGCGCGAGGGTCAGTGGGAGGCCGAGCCGGGGAAGGCTGGCGGCGGGCCGCCCAGCGCGGGGAGAGACCCGGAAGGCGGTGGGGGCGGGGAGCCGGGCTGACAACCTGTCAAATCCACTTGAGGACGAACTAGGTCACGCGCCTCCCCGAGCAGAGGCGCCCCGCCCGCGCGGCCCGGCGGGGCGGCC